TAATAATAATAATAATAATAATAATAATAATAATAAACAATGCATTGGTATTCAGTTCAGAAACTGAAAATCACAACAATGTGCTCCATAATTCATTCATCCTGTGCATGCAAATAACTCCTAATGAACTTGAACAGATGACTTGTCTGAGTTGTTGTGCTGCCCTCTGCTGGAGCAAACACATAAATACATTTATTACAGGAGCAGATGTGGTCATGTTAGCTAGTTTAATTCCACATCTGCTCACTGTTTGGAAGTTTGGATGGTGATGAGATTAACTAAAAATAGATTAGAAGCATATTTGGACATTTTAGGTTTTATTGACTCTACAGCCGTTTATTATAAATGCAAACAATATTACTAGTGAAAGACCTACATCTTTATCTAAAGTAATTTCTGGATTACCATTTGTAGTTTTTTCTTCAGTTCTACATTTGCTTCTTTGTAGCTTTTGGATGTGGACTGTAGGTAATAAATGGCCAATCTGAAGGGTAAGAAAAAAAAAGATGATCAACATCAAATCTGACAACAAACATGTTTTAAAATGTCTTTGCTCATGACAGCCTCGCAGTCTGCAGGTGACTCACACCATGAGCAGGATAAAAGGAAGCACCAGCCCAGGGTTAGAGGCATAACTGAACACCTTACTGAACCAGGCAGGGAAATCTGACTCCAACGTCTCTTGGATCACGTCAAACATTCGGTTCTTGCCACTGTGGAGAAAAAGTTGATGACTGATAAATCATTTGTACCAGAACACAGACACCTTAAACTTGCATCGTTACCTGAAGGGTCCACAATCAAAGGAAGGGGGGATGGTAACAATGGTGTAGATGGCTGGCAGCGTGGAGAGGAAGAGGATGACCAGCAGCATGGCCATGTAGAAATTGTTCGAGCCCGAAGCTTTGAAGACCCTCTCCTGTGGCACGTTGCAGCACATCACAGCCCAGCACTGCAGGTACATGGACACATGGAGCCGCAGGACATTTAGGGCTGGCAGGCAGGGGGCGTAGAAAGCCCCCATCCTGGAAGTAAAGGTTAGACAAAACCTTGTCATTTATCATCACTTATGTTTTTCTCTCTTTTTTTTTTTTTTGGTCATGCCAAAAAAAGTTCATTGTCGTTTTCTCACCATATCATTCCTTGATTGAAGATGAGCCCCAAGACATTTCCACTGACGTCAAACTCAGAGTAGGAAGGCTGTCAAAAAGGTCACAAAGAACTGTGACTCTGATGTAACACATAGCAATGTCTCAGTGCACCTTCAGTCAAATTAGTCATTGTAGTATTCATTAAAGTGTCTCACAAACTCACAAATCCAGCCTCAAGGTCCCAACACCAGCAGTAGTTCAGAAAACGGACGAGCACAGCTCTTAGGAAATCACCAATCAGCAGGGTGATGTAGGTGGTCATGGTGTCTGATATGATCAGCCGGACAAACTCCTGCAAAAGAGTAAAACTTTCATTCATTCATTCATTTGGAACATCTGTCTAATATTCATTCTCAGTATGAGACATGGTAAGTTGTATCTCACCAGTATGCCAGGTAGTATTCTGCTAATTATCAGATTACTTAAGAAAACAATATGTTTTTTTATGTAATATTGGCCACTTTCGGTGACTACACGCTCTTACATCAATGAGTTACATAAGAGTTTAAAAACACACAAGTCTGCTGACCTGGCCCACCATTGTCTCCCAGCAGGGCCCTCTCGGCACATCAGCAGGGTGGATGGTGACGGGCGGGGCGGTGACGTTTCCTGACACCGTGCCGTTGAACAAACTGGCCTCCCACGTGGTTATATTAAACTTGACTATCTTCTCCTCCTCCCTCTGAGCCAGACGCACCTTGATTAGTCATGCCGCAATCAAACAATATCACACATCTTCACACGTGGATTCTCACTTTCAGGTTGATCTCATCCATGAGGGCAATGATGAAAGTGTAGAGGTTTCCTAAGAAAAGGGCAAAGATGCGACCCAGCTGCCACTGCAGGGCCACACGCGGGTGGTAGTTTTCCAGGGTGCTGATGACGTCAAACAGCATGGGGCAGAACATTCCCAGTAATGACATGACCATGTTTACCTGACACGTGAAAAAGGGACACTTCAGATTTCTGTTTTTTATATGCCTGGTCCTTTTTAGTCAACATGTAGTGACATTACAATTTTTACATATTTCAATGATATTAACAAACTTTTATTGTGTATGTACAAGGTGTAACTGAACTGTAGACTGCCTTGCTCCAGAAATGGAATAAAAAAAACTAACAAAAAAAATGTTGCAATGATTCAGCTGAGGAGATGCATCATGTATATTTGCAGCATGATCTAGATCAGTGGTTCCCAAACTTTTCAGCTTTTGACCCACAAAATAACAGTAGCAGAGACCTGTGCCCCCAACTATGTTTGGATGATAAACATTTGTATCAGGTCAACTAAACATGGGCATAGTAACAATATTTTTATGTAGCATTTATCCATTTTAAATACACTAACCTCACTCATTTGTCACAACTAAGACAAAAATGTAATTAATTCAGAAAATCTTTTCAGGACCCCACCTTGATGTTTCGGGACCCCACTTTGGGTCCCGACCCCAACTTTGGGAAACACTGATCTAGATTATCTTTTACACCAGGGCTAAATGGCAGCCTGCAGGAGTGACCAAAGTTCAACCCGCCAATTGGTTCATTCATCTCTTAAGCCCAAACCCCTGGTTTTCTACTTTACTAGAAGTGTTTTAAGTTAGACATAAACATGTGTGATATCTACAGAAATGTCTGAATCTTGGCTAGAAGCTGGTAAAAAACATTTCTATGAAAAGCCAAAGCAGCTGAAGATAAACATATGAAAGTGAAAATAAAATTGGTTTAAAAATTTGGCAAGTCAGAGATTTCAAAATATTATTTGTGTTAAATAGGAGGCAGAATAGTCCCACTATTTATCGTTTTTGATATTGTTTAATTATTAACACTTTTATGACATAGTGTTCTGTATGTTGTATTCATGATTAAATGATTTCTGTCTTGGGTTCTAGCCTGTGTTCTCCTGTTCTTCTTTGTGTGTGTGTGTGTGTGTGTGTGTGTGTGTGTGTGTGTGTGTGTGGTTGAGATTATCATAAATGACAAGATTCTTCTGCAGATTG